CATAGTGGGCGCTCCGAAAGGAACTCGCGAAACCCCGGCCCCAAACCGGCTCTCGCCGAGGAGTGGTCGCCCTGTTTGTGCCTGCTGCAAGGTTCATAAAGTTCACAACATTTCCCAAAGATGCTGTGTGGAGTCGCCCCTGGCTTATGTGGTGAGGCCAATCGAGGTCAAAGGAATCCTCCTCCTCCTCCTCCTCCTCCTCCTCCTCCTCCTCCTCCTCCTCCCCCTCTCCTCCTCTTCCTCATCCTTCTGCTCCTCCTTCTCCTTCTCCTCCTCCTCCTCCTCTTCCTCCTCCGTCTTCTCCTCCTCTTCCTTCTCCTCCTTCTCTTTCTTCTCCTCCCTCCTTTCCTCCTCCTCCTCCTCCTCCTTTTCCTCCTCCTCCTCCTCCTCCGCCTGCCCTCTTGCCCCTCATGTTCCCCCTCTTTCTGCGCCCCTCTCATCCCAGACATGCTCGCGCTCTGAACAAGAACATGGCGGGAGGTCTTTGTCCGTTTTCGCCCCAGGAGGGGGCCCTCGCCGGGCCTAAAAGGACGGTCCGGGATAAAGAACTGGCCCCGGGGAAGGGATCGTGAAATGTGTGGACCCCGTGCTCAACGCATGCCGCCAGATGCGGCCGCTCGACGACGCAAGTGGAACCACAATCCAATATATCCAATGAGTTTTTTGTTGAGCCACTGTGGCTCGTAAAAGTTTTCGCGCGTCCTCCTGCTCCTGATCCGCCTGCGCCTTCGGCGTCGTCGTCGAGCTTTTCGTCGTCGTCGCCGTCGTCTTCCTCTGCATCCACGTCATTTGTTTTTCGCCCTCGCCCTTCCTTTCCATCACATATCCTCTTCACCCCCCTCTTTTTGTTCCTCCTGCTTTGCTCCTTTTCCTCCTCCTTTTCCTCCTCCTCCTCCTCCTTCTCCTCCTCCTCCTCCCCATACCCTTTCTCGCCCAGATCCTGCTGGTCCTCTTTCCTCTCCTCCGTCTCCCCTTCCTCCTCCTCTACCTCATTTCGCTCCCCCTCGTACCGCTCGTACGAATCCTTCTCATTCTCCTCGTGCTATTTCTCGTCGTTCTCCGCCCCATGGTCCCCCTTCTCCTCCTCCGCCTCTTCCTCCTCCTCCTCCTCCTCCTCCTCCTCCTCCTCACCTCTTCTTCCTCATGGCATTCATATGTTTTCCTCCCCCTGCTGCTCCTCCTGCTCGCCGCGCTCCTCCTTGCATTCCTCGTTTTCCTCCTCGCGTTCCTTGTCCTCCTCCTCTTCGCAGTGCTCCCTGTCTTCCTCCTCCTCCTCCTCCTCCTCCTCCTCCTCGCAATGCGCCTCCTCCTCGTCCTTGCATTCCTGCTCCTTCCCGTTCATCCTCGTCCTCCCCTTCCTTCTCCTCCTCCTTCTCCTCGTCCTCCTTCTCGTCCCTCCTCTTCTCCGCTTCCTCTGCCATGCTGATGCCTTCGCAGTCTCGATGTCGCTTCCAGGAGGTACAGGCACCCTCGCCAGGGATTCCCTCATAACAGGTAATGTAGTTTTGGCATGGCCCCGACTCCCTCCTCCATATGTTTTTTTCCTCCATTTCTCCTCCTCCAATCCTGCCCCCTCCCTGCTCACCGCGCTCTTGCTCGAGGCATCTCCACGACTTGCTCAAGCACGGCTCCCCCCCGAGAAGCCCTTGCAACCCTGCAATTTACCCAGGAATCGTGCTCGCGCCGCGGAGGAGACGAGGAGTTGTGCGGGGCAGCTCGGAGCTCAGAGTTGCGAAGATGGCTCGGGCGAAACGGGCTGGACCACCTCGCGCGCGGCATCTCGAAGCCAAGAGTTGCGAGGATGCGTCAACAAGCAGCTCCCAGGTCCCTCCCAGAGCACAATTCGGCGACAGAAGTGTAATCAAGTGGTTCGTTTGTGTCTGACCCCTCGTCCCTCCTCCCCCCTCCCTCCTGGAGCCCAGAGTTTCGAGGATGTCTCAAGCGAAACGAGCCAGATCACCTTGCGCGCAGCATCCCTGAGCTTTGAGTTGCGAGGATGTTTCCAGCGACGCGAGCTAGGTCACCTCGGCCACATTTTCTCAGAGCCCAGAGCTGCGAGGATGTATCAGGCGAAGCCTGTCCACCTTGCGCACATCTTCTCGGAGCCCAGAATCGCAAAGCTGTCTCAGGCAAAACGGGCTTGACCACCTCGCGCGCAGCATCTCGGAACCCCGAATTGCGAGGATGTCGCAGCCGAAACGGGCTGGACCACCTTGCGCGCGACCTCTGGGAGCTCAGAATTAGTAGGATATTTCAGACGGCGCCAAGACCCCTCCCAAATGACAAGTCAATAACAGGAGTGTAATCAAATCGTCCGTTTGCGTATGACCCCTCTTCCCTCCTTCCCCCCATAATCTCAAAAGTACTTCAGGCGGAACGGGCTGGACCACCTCGCGCGCAGCATCTCGGAGCCCGTAACTGCACGGAGTTCTCAGGCGAAGCAGGCTTAACCACCCTGCCCACATTTTCTCAGGGCCCAGGGTTGCGAGGATGTGTCAGGCGAATCGGGCTGGACCACTTTGCGCGCATTTTCTCAGAGCCCAGGGCTGCGAGGGTGTCTCAGTCGAGACGTGCCGGTCCACCTCTCGCGCGGCATATCGAAGCCCAGAGTTGCGAGGATGTCTCAGACGAAACGTGTTGGACCACGGAGCTCGCAGTATCTCGAAACCCAGATTTGCGAATATGTCTGGGGCGAAACACCCCGGACCACCTCGCGCGCGGCGTCTCGGAGCCCAGAGTTGTGAGAGAGTCTCAGGGGAAACACGCCGGACCACCTCTTGCCTGGCATCTCGGAGCTCAGACTTGCCAGAATGTCTCAGGCGAAACGAGCCAGCCCACTTCGCGCGCGGCTTCTTTGAGACCAGAGTTGCACGGAGGTTTCAGGCGAAACACCCCGGACCACCTCGCGCGCGGCGTCTCGGAGCCCAGAGTTGTGAGAGAGTCCAGGGGAAACACCTCAGACCACCTCTTGCTTGGCATCTCGGAGCTCAGACTTGCCAGAATGTCTCAGGCGAAACGCGCCAGACCACTTCGCGCGCGGCATCTCTGAGACCAGAGTTGCAAGGAGGTCTCAGGCGAAACGGGCCTGACCGCCGCGCGCGCAGCATCTCGGAGCCCAGAGTTGCGAGGATGTCTCCGGCGAAGCGAGCCGGACCACCTCGCGAAAGTCTTCTCACAGCTCAGAATTGTGGGGAAGTGTCAGGCGAATCGAGCTGGTCCACCCCGCGCGCAGCATCTCGGAACCCACACTTGCGAGGATGTGTCGGGCGAAACTGACTGGACCTCTTGCCCGCGCAGCATCTCGGAGCTCAGAGTTGCGAGGATGCGTCAGGCGGCGCCCAGGCCCCTCCCAGAGCACAACTCGACAGCAGAAGTGCATCAAGTGGTCTGAGTCTGACCCTTCCTTCCTCCGCCCTCCTCCCTCCCGGAGCTCAGAGTTGCGAAGATATCTCGGGCGAAACTGGCTGGATCACCTCGCGTGCGACATCTGGGAACTCAGAGTTGCGAGGATGCGTCAAGCGGCTCCCAGGTCCCTCCCAGAGCACAATTCGGCGACAGAAGTGTAATCAAGAGGTTCGTTTGTGTCTGACCCCTCCTCCCTTCTCCCTCCTCCCTCCCGGAGCCCAGAGTTGCGAGGATGTCTCAAGCGAAACGAGCCAGATCACCTCGCGCGCAGCATCCCTCAGCTCCGAGTTGCGAGGCTGTTTCCAGCGACGCGAGCCAGATCACCTCGGCCACGTTTTCTTCAGAGCCCGGAGCTGCGAGGATGTGCCAGGCGAAGCCCTTCCACCAGGCGGAGGCACGGAGCGGGGAAGGCGCGGCGCGTGGCCACGGCGGCCCTCACGAGGAGGGGGGAGGAGGGAGGAGGAGGAGGAGGGGGGGGAGGAGGAGGAGGAGGAGGAGGAGGAGGAGGAGGAGGAGGAGGAGGAGGAGGAGGAGGAGGAGGAGGAGGAGGAGGAGGAAGAGGAGGAGGAGGAGGAGGAGGAGGAGGAGGAGGCGGATGCATCAGGAGGAGCCTGCAGTTTCCAGGGTGTCTCAGGCGAAACGGGCCAGACCGCCGAGCGCGCGGGTTCTCGGAGCCCAGAGTTGCGAGGATATGTTACGCAAAACACGCCGGACCACGCCTCCTCGCGCGCAGCGCCATCGGAGACCAGAGCTGCGAGGATGTATCGGGCGAAACGGGCGATACCACGCTTCGCGCGGCATTTCGGAGCTCAGGATTGCCTGGATGTCTCGGGCGAATCGCGTCGGACCACCTCGCGCGCAGCATCTCGGAGCCAAGAGCTGCGCAGGTGTCTCAGGCGAAGCGATCCGGTCCGCCTCGGGCGCGGCGTCTGTGAGTCCAGAATTGCGAGGATGTCTCAGGCAAACGCGCCCGACCACTTCTCGCGCGGCATCTCGGAGATCAAAGTTGCGAGAACGTCTCAAGCGAAAAGGACTGGACCACATCGCGCGCGGCATCTCGGAGTTCAGAGTTGTCACGGCGTCTCAAGCGAAATGGGCTAGCGCGCGGCATGTCCGAGCCCAGAGTTGGGAGAATGTCTCAGGCGAAACGCGCCAGACCATCTCTCGCGCGGAGCTCAGAGTTGCGAGTATGTCTCAGGCGAAACAGGTTGGACCACCTCGCACGCAGCATCTCTGAGCTCAGAGTTGCGAGGACGTCTCGGGCGCAACGTCCAGTGACGGCCAACTCTGAGACGCGAGTTCTGAGGATGTCTGGGCGAAACTGCCTGGACCATGTTCTTTGTTTGTTTGAGGATGTCTTTGCTTCAGCCTCCCCCGGCGGGAACTAGCTTCTATCACAACAGCACCCTCTTCAGCAAGCTGCTTGGGGAATCAGCAAGAAGCAGGCGTCCTGACCAGAACTTCGAGGCCGACCCATTCGCGAGGCGGACCTCGCGGAGGCCCGGAAAGGTTCAAGCACGCAAACAAGTATTGCTCCTCGAAGTTCGACCCCCGAATGCTCGAAAACCTCGTGAAATACCCTCCGTGCCATCCAGTTTCTGCTTCCTCTCTCTCTCCCTCTCTCCGGAGTCGCCCCTCCTTCCCCCCACCCCAAGCGCTGTTAAGAGCCCGGGCCCGCGCGCGGCCCCACCCGCGCACCGCGGGCAAGGCGCGCCGTTGGACGCGGCCGCTCGAGGAAGAGACATCAAAAGAGGCGCGGGCGGACTCTGCGCGGTCCCCGCCACCACAGGCGTTGTCTCGTCTAGGGACCTTGTTGACGCCGACATGGGTCATGGTCAAGGCGGGCCTTCGCCGATTCGCGAGGATGGACCAGGATGGACGGTCACCAAGATCCGCACGACATTTCCGCGTTCAGTCTTGGTCGTGGTTTCTGATTTCTTAGTCTTCGGCCACGAGGGAAAAGGGTACCCTTAGATCCGGGCGTGGTAACCTCAGGAAGTCTGTAGTTTCGCCCCCCCCGCCTGTTTCTTTCGGCGGGGGGCAAAATCGCCCCTCCTCCTCCTCCTCCTCCTCCTCCTCCTCCTCCTCCTCCTTCTCCTCGTTCTCCTCCTCCTCCTCCTCCTCCTCCTCCCTCTCCTCTCCCCCTCCTCTCTCCCCCTCCTCCTCCTCCTCTCCCTCCTCCTCCTCTCCCTCCTCCTCCTCCTCCTCCTCCCCCTCCTCCTCCTCCTCCTCCTCCTCCTCCTCCTCCTCCTCCTCCTCCTCCTCCCCCTTCTCCTCCTCCTCCTCCTCCTCCTCCTCCTCCTCCTCCTCCTCCTCCTCCTCCTCCTCCTCCTCCTCCTCCCCCTCCTCCTCCTCCTCCTCCCCTTCTCCTCCTCCTCCTCCTCCTCCTCCTCCTCCTCCTCCTCTCCTCCTCTCTCCCCCTCCTCCTCCTCCTCCTTCCTCCTCCTCCTCCTCCTCCTCCTCCTCCTCCTCTCCTCCTCCTCCTCCTCCTCCTCCCCTCCTCCTCCTCCTCCTCCTCTCTCCCCCTCCTCCTTCTCCTCCTCCCTCCTCCTCCTCCTCTCCCTCCTCCTCCTCCTCCTCCTCCTCCTCCTCCTCCTCCTCCTCCTCCTCCTCCTCCTCCTCCTCCTCTCCCTCCTCCCTCCTCCTTCTCCTCCTCCTCCTCCTCCTCCTCCTCCTGCTGCGCCTCGTGGGCGTTATCGTCGTCTTCGTCGTCGTCGTCGTCTTCGTCGTCGTCGTCGTCGTCGTCGCGGCGGAGATTCTTTTTTCTCTAGTGTTGGGCGGGCTGGAGAATGCTAGGGGGCCCTTTCTCCCAGGGAATAAGCCATTGCGGGCTGCCCTACACGCGGGAGGATTTGTGAGCGTTGCCTCATGGACATTGTTTTGCAGTCGGAATCAGTGGCTCTGGTCGCAGTCGTAATCGTAGTCATAGTCGTCGTCGTTGTTAAGCTGCGGGTGCCGCGGATAAATATTAATTTTCCGTTATTGGTAGGAGCCCAGCCCGTCAGTAATCAAGTCCTACCCTTGGGGGGCGGTTGCGACGAACCAACTATAAAGGTTTTTTTTTTGTTTCCACGTTGGGTTTTGTTGTCGCCAGATTTCGGGCCTTGGGACCATCTCGGATCGGAGAAAGGTGGGGTGTAGGGCTCCAAACTAGGGCGCAGGTCGTGACTGGGGTATTGCGAAGGCCAAGCGGCCGGCGCCGCCGATCCTGAATGCGGGATTTTCCCCGGAACTTTCGCTGATGACCCGGGGCCTCCCTCATCCCACCCACACCTCCCCCAGGACCCCCCCCCGCCCTGGCAGGGAAGGGATACAGGGAAGGCAGCCGACTGAACTGTGACATTCATTTCCTTCTTCCTCATTTTTTGGGGACCGACGACAACGACAGCGTCTTCCACACGCCGAAGGGTTGGCGGATTATCTTGATCGTCCCTAGCGCCGCCGAGGAGGCCGCGGCCTGAAATCACCCCCCTTGCATAAATTCCAAAGTAATTCGTGCCCTAGCAAAGCTGAAATGTAGCCGGCCCCTCTGCGGCGTGGCGAGTTTTTTTTTGTTTCTTTTTTTCAACAGAGCCGACAGCTTTCCTGCGTGCGTGAGTAGCTTGAGCCTTAGCGCGCCAAACTGTCGCGAGCGCCAGTCTGCTCTAGCGTAGCCAACGCGAGCTTCAATCCGATTCGACTGCGGATCTCTGTGAGCGTGATTGTTGGATCATGCATTGCGCGAGCTTCGGCTCCTGGCTTTTTTTGGTTGTCGCTTGTATGATGCGCGCGCCCCGACGCGGGCGCCTGCGTCTGCTCTGGCCGGCTTGCGTGGGCCTCGCAATTTTATTTGCCAGTCTAGAGTTCCCTCGTTTTTTTTTTTTCGTTTGCTCGGCCTCTCCGCGTTCTTCGCGCGCGCGGGCATCCAGCGGGATCGCCTTGCAGATGCCGGCGGCGCGAGCACTTCCTCCGCCTATTTTTTGTCCCCCCGTTGCGCGCGGACATGGCAGTCCGCCTTCCTGCAAAACAAGCAACATAAAGCAACAACAGCAACAACATTACCTTCCCGCTCCCCGCGCCCCCGGGCCCCCCTCCCGCAGCAATCCCCCCCCTGGCAGACCACCTTCATCCTTCCCTCCCTCCTCTGCTCCTCCGTTATCCCTCGTCATCCTCGCCTTTCCAGCGATCGTGGCTGGCCGTTTCGTTTCATTGCGTGTTCCTACGGTTCCTTGATCAAGGCGTCTCGCTCTGGCATCGTATCTGGATGGGCTGGGGCGGATGCGCAAAGCGTCAAGTGGGAGGCTGGCGAAGGGCGCAAATAGAAGCTTCTGACCTTGCTTTGCGCTGCTACCCGATATGCTGCCACCAAGCCGTCGTCGGAGGCAGGGCAAGGTGTGTCGGAGAGTTATCGGGCGGAATGGCAAGATTGTTGTGGACGGTTTGGCTGAGAGCGCATATCAGCATCACCTCCTCTCCTCCCTCCTCATCGTCAGTGTTTCTGTCATGACGTCGAATCCAGCTATTTACGTGCTTGCCACGTCTTCTCTGTCACTAGCAACAGGGCCAGCGGTCCACGCGCAATTTGACAGGCCATGGGTTGTTCGATCGTAGAACACAGCCTCCATCCTCATGCTTATCTCCTCCACATCTCCCATTCTGCTTCACCCGGTTTCCCCTTTCCTTCCCCCCTCCAATTTTCTCTTCCCTCCTTCCTCCTTCCTTCGCCGTCCTTGCGGCCTCCTCCTTCCTCTCTTCTCCCCCGTCCCCCTCTCCCCGTTTCCTCCTCTCTCTCTCTCTTTCCCCCTCCTCCTTCTGCTCCTCCTCCTCCTCCTCCTCCTCCTGCTTCCCTCCCTCCACGGCGGCCACCCGAGGTTCGTCGTGGGCGCAGTAGCTGCGCTCTCCATGCAGCGAGAGCGAGGTGGCGGAGCTCGAGGCGGACGCCATCTTCGAGCCATGTGGGGGCTGCGTGGTTCCAGGTGTCGGCGGAGAGCCCTTTCGCCATGGCGGCGCTGGACGTCTCCCAGGGGCTGCCAGACCCAGGCTGCCTCGACGAGGCCCCGTCGACGCTCCGGGCCCTGGGCGACACGGCGGTGGAAGTGTAGGGCCACCACTTGCGCAGGGCTGGCCCCGCCATCCTCCTGCCGGGTGTGCGTGGCCTGGTCGGGCAGTGGCCCGTCGAGGGCGCTGCTGGAGCCGTGCGGAGGCATGCCCACCTGGTGCAGGTCGTGACGCGCGGACTTCCCTGTCCAACCTGCGGTCGCGGCTTCGGCGGCTGGAGGCAGGCAGGCACCCGAAGAGCGGAGGCGCCGCTGCCTGGCGGGGAGCAGCTGGCTGCGGCGTGGGTCGGGGCAGAGTCTCGCGTATGCCTTGAAGTCGTGCCGCCTGGAGGGGCGGAGTGCGCCAGGCGGAGAGGCTCCTCGTCGTGTGCGGCACCTGCGAAACGCTCTTCGGGTTTTGGGTGGGTGCCGTGGGCGATTGGCCGCGACACTGGCGGCTGGAGTCTGATCGGCCGAGGGTCTGCATGCCATGGCCGTGGCGTGCTGGCCTGCAGGCGGGGTGCGGGAGAGGAGGTGGCCTGCTGGCGCCCAGGTTCCCGCCGCCTGCGAGGAGTGCCTCGGGGAGCTCCCCCAGTCCAGGCGGGCCGAAGCGCGGCCGCGGCCTGATGCCACTCCTGGCCATCCCGGGTCGAGCGACGCGGCGTGCGCTGTGCGGGTCTGCCGTGCCAGGGGCCGTTCAGGTAAGATCCTGGGGAGCTCTGGACAGCCGGCCTCTGCGTCTGGAGCGCCCCCTGGGCTTCGGCGGCCTGATGCCTCTCTGAGGCCGCCCGTGCGGGCATCGAGGGCGCCTGTCGGGCCCCCGTCGGATGCCTCTCGCCGTCATCTCCCGCCATCCCCTGGCCCTCGTCCTCTGAGCCGTGGGGGATCCTCCATGTCAGACTCCTGCTCCCCAGCGGCAGTTCGGCCCCAAGGTTGCCTCGGCTGTCCCGTGGTTGTCCCGCGGCTGTCCCGCGGCTGTCCCGCTGCTGTCCCGCAGCTTTCCCGCGGCTGTCCCGCGGCTGTCCCGCGGTTTACCCGCGGCTTTGCAGCGGCGTCCCGCGGCTATGCCGCCCGACGACCCGCTTCGCTTCGGCTGTCCCGCGGGTGTCCCGCGGCTGCCCCGCGGTTGTCCCGCGGCTTTCCCGCGGCTTTCTCGGCGCAGTCCCGGGTTTGTCCCAGTGTTCTTGAGCAGGGCGTTTGGTCGTCATTCACATCTGTGCGCAACAAGTCATGTCGGCCCGCACCGCCGGCAACGTGATTATAGCGGCAGTGCTGGCGGCGGCTATCGTCAGCAGCGTCATGCTAATAATCATCCACGCCGCCTTCCACCGCGGCTACTGGCGTTTTTCCAGCACCACTCCCACCCCGGTTGGCCCCAGCGCGCCGGCGTGCCGCCGGCGTGCGTGCTGCATGTCGGACGATGACATGTTCGGCCCGGTCGTCGTCCTCTTGCGGGATCTTGGCCCGGACCGACCAGCAACCATTCGCCGAGTGCAGAGCGTGTGAGCGGCCGGTGCTCCCGGGCCAGGCACTGTGGCGTTGGCGCAAAAGCCAACGCTGCGAGTACGGCGTGGCGGTGGAGCTATTCTCGGGCCCCCTCGCGCGCCCGGGCCGCGGCGATGTCGCCCTTGGGCCCCCCCCCTGGGACGCCCTGAGGGGCGCTATTAAGCGCACGTGGTGCCGTTTCGGGTTCCCGCTGGGCCCCGTCGGGACCTTCATGGGCAATTTTTGGTGCCGCCGCGAGGCTTCGCGAGTCCATCGGAAGCGAAGAAGGCGCGAAGGCAGCGCTTTCGCGCGCACACGCGCATGTTGTAAGCATTGTTTTGGACGGATTGTGGTTTCTTGGTTGTCGCTTGGGGGGCGCCGTGGCCATCTGGGGCCGCTTTGGGGCGGTCTTGGGGCATCCTGACGGCGAGTTGCAAGCGATGTTAGACCATGTCGAGCGATGTTGAGCGATGTTTGAGGCCGTCTTGGAATTTCTGGATCCGTCTTGGGGCCAGTCTGTGCAATCTTGAGCGTTCTAGCCCATCGCGGCGGAGGGGGCTCGAGACCGAGCTCCTTAGACCACTCGCGCCCTAAAGCGCTGGTGGGACTTCTACGCGGCTCGCGCGTGGAGCATGCTCGCGCGCGCGCCCGTGTATTCACGGGCGCGCCCCCGAGTGCTCGCGCCCAGTTGTGCGCGTCAGCTCGCGCGCGCGTGCGCTCCCCCCTGCCCTCCAATCGCTAGCCATATGCGTCTCGACTCCGCGACCTACCGACGCGCGTCTTCACTCGTGCTCGCAAGAGCTCCCTTGCCCTGGCAATTTTTATAACTGCTCAACGAGCCAGGCTTGGATGTGTTTCCACGTGCCCATGCCGTCTCGCATTGCGTCGTGCATGCTTGTAGTTGCGTGTCCATGGTTTGCTGTCTGGGCGCGTCTTGCCGCTCGCCGCGGAACCGCTCGCCCTCCAGGTCCTCCTCTCGTTTGGTTTCCGCCGGGTCCATGCTCGTATCTTTGCTTGGTAATGTTATATCTCCAATTGGTACCCCCTCGGGGAGGGGGCGCCCCCCCGCCCCCGGTTTCTTCCAAGCCCCATTCATCCATCCCTGTCTCGCCCTGATGCGACCCCGTCGCTGCGCAGCGGCAGTTTTTCGCTGCGCGGCCGACCTCAGCGCTATGCTGCTGCTGCCCCTTCCTTCCTTCGCTTCGGCAATATGGCCGCGCCGCTGTTCCGCGGCTGTCCCGCGGCTGTTCCGCGAGTTCTTTCGAGGAAGGGGGGGGGGGGGTCGTCTCGGCGGGCGCAGGCCGCGGCCTCCTCGCGCGCTGGCGGGGTGCCATTCGCGATTCTTTCGCGTTCAGAGCGGGGGAAGAAGGCGTCTCCCATGTCAGTGGGGCGCGCGGTGCATCGGCATCAGCGGTGGAGACGAGCGTTCGCGGGCGCCGCGACATGGCGCCCATCTTCAGAGAGCCCATGGGTGGCAGCAGGCCCACGTTTCAGAGTCGATGGGCTCGGATGTCAGACTGCAGCAGAGCCTCTCCAGTACAGGGCAGCTGCGCTGCATGGTGGCACCGATGCCGCGCAGTGTTGGCGCCGGTGGTCCATCGTCGTCAACGCGGCAACGGACCTGTGCAGCGCTCGACGATAACTCGCGCTTGCGCCAGGCTGGTTGCCGGCTTCCCTGCGCAGGCGCGCACTTCCGTGAATCGGAAGTGGCCTTGGGATGTTTGGCCGCGGTGCCTTCGCGCCGCGCCGACTCTGAGCTGCCCTTCGACGCAGTCAAGGGGGCGGTTGAGGTGGGATGGCAGGTGGCGCGCGGAGCCCGCGGCAAAGCCTCGCGCGCTTCCCCAGGCGATTTCACATTGTGGATTCCTGGGGGCTCCGCGAACATTTGCTCAGTAGCATCAATAGGCACCAGCTTCCCCATTTGGATGTGGCCACGCTTGCAGCAGCTTCGAGAAACCCAATGGACGTCGCGGGGCATGGGGCCAGGAGGCGGCGCGAGGTGCAGGGGGGCGCATCTTGGCCAAGTTGAGTTGCAGAGGGCATAGGAAAATGTCAGAAGTGGGCGGGGTCTTCTGGGAGCTGCGAACTCTCGCCGGCGAGATGCCGAGGGCCGCGGCGCGCGGCGCGGGGCCGCGAGCAGGGCGGGGAGCAGGCGATTTCCCCCCGTTCGGAGTGGAGCGCGCCCCCCCCCGCCCCCCCCGCCCCTCTCGAGAGCCTCGGGGCGTCGGCGCAGATCCTCGCGGCCGCGGGGGGGGGCCTCAGCTTGCCCTGGCGGCTGCGCCTCGTCGTCGGGCGCCTCCTGCCGAAAAAGGCGGGGGCGACGGGGTCGCCGGCCCGGCGTGGGTGGCCCCCCAGGGTCTGGTCGCGGGCGCGCGTAATTCTAGTCAAGGGGTGGGCGCTGGAGTCGCAGCCTCCCGCAGGGGCGCGTTGGCGTCGGGGAATTCGGCGTCGCGGGTGGGTCCTCCGCGCCCCCGGCGAAGGGGCCCGCGGCCGTTTCGGCGCGCCCGTCGGCCGTTGGCTGCTCGTCGCTCCGAGCTCCTGCGACAGCGCCTTCTGGCCCCGTCTCGCCAGGACAGCGTTGGCGCCAGGGTTCCCGCCAGTCGCGTTATTCCTCGAGCCCCGGCCGTGCCTGGGGCCGAGCGCGCCAGCGCAGCAGCGGGGCTCTTTCTCAGAGGCCATCCAGCGAGACCGCGGCGTGATCGAATGGTTGCGTAGCGGCGCCAGATCTGCTCGCTGCATGACGCATTGCAGTTTGGACAGATTTGTATCTTCTCACTCCCTCCTCCTCATCCTCTTCCTCCTTTTCCGCCTGCTCCTCCTCCACCGCCTCCTCCTCCTCTCCTCCTCCACCTCCTCCATCTCCCACTGTTCCCCTTGCTCCCCCCCTCCCTCTCTCCATCCATCCTCCCTCCTCCCTCCATACCCCCTTCCCCACAATTGACGATATGAATATTACTTCCGTCCTCCCGTGAAGTTGTCCGGAAAATCACCCACCCCCTCATGGTGCCGTTTTTACACAGGATTGAAGTCATTGTTTTCCTGTGGTTGTTTTGTCATCGGCGCTTTACAATAATGCAGCCTAGGCCTCACTTTCGCATCGGCATTTTGCTCCCGTCGTTCAGCGCGGGCCCTTTCTCTGGAATCTCGCGGGTTGCGAGAACCTGGTTCGTCGACGATCGGCTCGTGTCTCAGAGGAGCGAGTTTTCGGATTGGGAAGTGCTGCGGGTGGCCAGCGCGAGCGTCGCGATGTGCCTGATCATCGGGGCGCAAAGTTCGCGGCGGCCAGTCTCAGGAGGAATGGCGTCGCGGTGTTTTCAGTCTTGTCATATCCCCCAGCGTCGACGCCGGGGGCCGGCGCGCGCGCGCCGCGCGGCGCAAGCATGTCGCCGTGGCCGCCTCCGCGCGTGGGCGCGTGGCCATGTTCGCCAGGGTTGCGCGTCGCTACAAACCGACGATGAGCCTGGAGGGGGCGGGCGCTCAGCCTGCAGGCCATCGCGGTCATAAAGTGCTAACCCGAAATGTAGCCGGCCCCTCTGGGGCCTGGCGCGTGGCTTCTTCAGCGGAGCCGACAGCTTTCCTGCGTGCGCGAGTGGCTTGAGCCGTGGCGCGCCAGACTGTCGCGCGCGCCGGTCTGTTCTTGCGTGGCCAACGCGAGTTTCAAGCCGATTCGACTGCGGATCTCTGTGAGCGTGATTGTTTGATCATGCATTGCGCGAGCTTCAGTTCTTTTTTTTTGTTGGTCTGTCGCTTGTATGATGCGTGCGCCCTGACGCGGGCGCCTGCGTCTGCCCTGGCCGGCTTGGGTGGGCCCTGCGATGTTATGCCAGTCTTGAGGTTTCTCGTGTTTTTTATTTGCTCGGCTTCTCCGCGTTCTTCGCGCGCGCGGGAGTTTGGCGGAATCGCCGGCAAGATGCCAATGGCGGGAGCCCTTTCCCGGCGTACTTCCCTCCGCTTGCGCGCGGAAATGGCAGTCCGACTTCCTGCAAAACAAGCAAGACAAAACAACGGCACCAAGAGTATCTTCCCGTTCCCCGCGCTCCCTGCCCCCCCCGCAGCAATCCTCCCCTGGCAGACCGCCTTCATCCATCCCTCCCTCTGCTCCTCCGTCTTGCCCCGTCATTTTAGCCTTTGCAAAAATCGTGGCTGGCCGATTCGTTTCATCGCGTGCTCCCACGGTTCCTTGATCAAAGCGTTTGGCTTGGGCATCGTATCTAGAAGGGCTGGGGCGGACGCGCGAAGTGTCAAGTGGGAAGCTGGCGAAGGGCGCGAAGAGAATCTTCCGACCCTGGTTTTCGCTGCTACCCGATATGCTGCCACCGAGCCGTCGGCGGAGGCAGGGCAAGGTGCGTTGGAGAGCTACCTGCCGGAATAGCAAGTTTGTTGTGGCAGGTTTGGGTGACAGCACACATCAGCATCACCTCCTGTCCTCCTTCCCCATCGTTTGTGTTTCTGTCATGGCGTCGAATTCAGCTATTTGGGTGTTTGCCGCGTCTTCGCGGCCACTAACAACAGGGCCACCGGTCCACGCGCAATTTGACAGGCCATGGGTTGTTCTGTCGTTGAACACAGCCGCCATCCTCATGTCTGTCTCCTCCACACATCCCACCCTTTTTCAATCGTTTTCCCTTTTCCTTCCGCCCTTTTTTCCCCTCTTCCTCCTTCCTTCGTCATCCTTGCGGCCTTTTCCTTCCTCTCTTTTCCCCTGTCCCCCTCCTCCCGTTTCCTTCTCCTCTTCTTCCCCCTCCTCCTCCTCCTTCTTGACCTCCTCCCCTTCCTCCTCTTCTTTCTCCTTCTGCTTCTGCCCCTTGTCAAGCGCCGCCCACGCACATCAAAAACGCTTCCATTATCCAGCGGGATGGAGGGCAGTTTTTTTCAAGTCGGGTCTTTCGCTTGAGACTTCACTATCGCGCATGGAAGTGAGCGCAGCGCATGGAGGGTGGCATCTTTCCAGAGTGGAGCTTGTGCTGGGGATTCTGGCAACAGTTGCACATCGATATGCAAGGCGGCCCTGAAGTGGGGTACCACCTTCCGACTTCATCGACAATGCTGACTCGATGTGTGACATTGTGCAACCGCTGCATGGCTGGCAGGCGGGCCCTTCCAACACGGGGCCTTCGGTTGGCATGTTGTTCAATTGTCTGATCGTATATCAGGGCGCTTCTTGCTCATAACGGCCCTCTCGCATGAGCGGCAGGGCTGTGGGGCGTTCGTGTTCCAAGGGGTGCCTCCATGAGTTGCAAGAGGACCTATAGGGACTCAGTGAGGACGGAATTTAGGGCGCGACGGCGTGTCACAGCATCGTTGATGCACCGTGTGTTTTCTCTGTTCTTCCCGCCTCGTCCATCCTCCCTCTCCATGTTGTTGGGCTGCCACAGCCACCTGGACGATAAGGCGCGGGAGATGCTGGAGGTAGTTGTTCCGTCTTTTCTAGAGGCGTGCGTCGTTCCGCCAGCTGTGAAAGGCGCAAGGTGGGCGCACGCCCGAAGCACCCCCAGACATCATGCAAACTGGAATGCTTCGTGTCTCCCAATTGGAGGAGTTCGACCGCAGCGGCGACAGTGACGAGTCGATCGGCATGACGAGATGTGGGGCGTCTGCGCAAAAAAAGGTCCTTTTCCAAATGGGACCGCCTGGTGACAGTTCTTCGCCCACTTTGACGACTCTGCGTGCAAGGATGCGCAACCGCTGCGTGGAAGGACATCCTTTTCCAAACGGGTTCTCCGTTGCCATGTCTTCGCGCGCGTGGGCGGGAGGAGAAGGAGAAGGAGGAGGCCCACGGTAATCGCAGGAGGCGTCGACGATGCTGCGGCCCACTTTCCTCCTCCTCCTTCTCTTCCTCCTCCTCTTCATCCTCCTCTTCATCCTCCCTCCTCCTCCCTCCCCCCTCCTCCTCCCTCTTCTTCCTCCTCCTCGTCCTCCTTCTCTTTCTCTTCTTCATCCTCCTCCTCCTTCTGCTCCTCCTCCTCGTCCATTCCGCTTCCTGATACAACACTTCTCCCTGTCGCACCCCGAGGCCAGTTTTTAGGGTGGTCCGGGCGTTTCGCCGAAACGCCCTCATCATGTATGAGCCTGAAGCTTAAACATTGATAGCAGTTTCACAGATGGAGGGCGGGCCGTTTTCAAAATGTGGTTCTCGCCTTAGCTCCTCGCACACTCGGTTGTACAAGCTTGTAAGATCTTCACGGGTTGAGGGCGGGTCGTTTTCAGAATGTGTCTCTCGCCTTGTCGCCGCGCATACTCGTTTTAAACTGTGGAAGAGTTTCATGGATTTAGGTGTTTTTTTTCAGCATGTGGTTCTCGCCTCAGCGCCGCGCTCACTCGTTGCTAACATTTGCAACGGTTTCACGGTTTCCCATGGTCGGCGTACCAGGAATGGAGTTTTGGAAGGGTTCGAGATTATTAGGGTCCAGCAGTTACGTTGATTCGCGGTATTGAAGACCCAGGAATGGTGTTCTGCCATGGTTCAAGGTCGTCAAGACTTAACAGTCAGGTTGATCCGTGGCGTTGGAATCCCGAGAACATTGTTTGGGCATGCTTCAGGGTCTTCGAACGGTTGTCTTCCAGCGGGGCTTTTCTTTCAGTGGAAATGAACCGTTGTAGGGGCCTGCGACGAGGGAGCTTGGAGGGAGGACTTACTCAGACATCGCCGAGACTCTTGGGTTCCCACTGGCCCTCCTCATCCTCCTCCTGCTCCCCCGCCTCGGCTTCCGCCAGCCTGCCTCCCTGGATGAAGACCCCCACACCTTAGGCGATGCTTAAGAAAACCTAAGTGTTCGGCCAGAGTCTCGATTATTCTTAATGTTTCAATGTGAATCCTAAGATTTCAATCGAAATTCTGGGTTTTTATTCAAATTCTGAGATTATGAATTTCTTAACCCATGATTTCTTACGCATTTCGCAGGGTGTATGCCGTTTTCCTTCTCTCCCCCTTGGCTCTCTCATTCTATCGGCAATGAGCCCCATCCTTTCGGATCGCCACCACCACCTGGACCGAGGGGCGTGGCGTCCCTTCTGGAGGCGCGGCGCGCGCCGGGCCGCCGACCACGAGAGGAGGAGGAGGAGGAGGAGGAGGAGGAGGAGGAGGAGGAGGAGGGAGGAGGAGGAGGGAGGAGAGGAGGAGGAGGAGGAGGAGGAGGAGGAGGAGGAGGAGGAGGAGGAGGAGGAGGAGGAGGAGGAGGAGTTTCGCGGCGCTCGTGGCCTGTTCTGGCTCAAGGTGGGCACACGCTCGAAGCACACTGTCCCAGATACCGTGATGTCCGCCATGCTTCGTGTCTCCCCGCAGGAGGAGTTCGAGCGCAGCGGCGACGTGGACGAGCCGATCGACACGAGCACCTGTGGGGCGTCGGCGCAGATGGACTCAGGCTGGATCCCTGGCTGCCGGATGGCGTGTCCTAGAGATTTCGGGGCCGCTGAGTTGGGCGATGCTTCAACGACTTCGCTGAACATCATGAGCGATGCCTCCTGTGCTTCCGGGGTTGCGCAGACGGACACTCAGACGATCGGCACCCAGACCGACGAGTACGTGGATGACATAACATGCCAGACGTGTGGTGAGGTGCGCGTGCCTCATGGCTGTGGTCACTGGCAGTGCACTACACTGACATGCCAGCCTACTTGGTATCAGCGGTTCGAGGCCAGGAAGTGGCTGGCCCCACGCACGCCCGCACGAACACAACACGAGCAGCTCTCCCTGACGCGCGAGCGCTGCGTAGACTGCCGCCCCGAGGGTCGCTGCCTCAAGGGAGCTTGTCCTCGGTACTGCAACTTCGTCTTCAGGAGGGGCACGTGCAAGCATGGAGCAAAGTGCTCATTTTGTCACCTGCATGGACGCGCCGACGCCCCCGGAAATTTCAGTGGCAAGGTCGACGGCGTATTGGACCTTCCGTGGCCACCGTCCGCCTCTCATGTGCCGCCTCCCCCGAAGAGTTTCTTGACAAAGGACAAGCAAAAGTATCCGAGGTACGTCATCACGTCCGACGGCATGAAGAACGATCCAACCGAATGCTTGCGCGGATGCTGCAGTGTGAATGAACCTTGGAAAGTGGCATATTGTCCAGATCGCTTGACGGCGAATGCACCCTCGCCGCAAAAGCTTGCTGGTGGCAGTCGAGTGCTCAGGGCCTCGCCGAAAGTGGGTCTTGATGCAAGTGTAATGCTCAGTCTCTACGTGTAGCATTCTGCATGAGGCCTGACGTGTAAGGACGCGGTTGCTCCTCGCGAGCCAGCCTGCAGCAGCACACTTTCAAGCATACCCGCAACGTTCCACTTCGAGCGCCTGCAGGCAGCTTCCGGTTTTGGCCCCTCCGCTCGGCCTTCCCGGGCGGAGCATACACGGAGACTAGATGGCAGCCAGCGTGGGCCGACCACAGTGCATTATATTGCACTGTGGGGGCGACAGCTGTGCGGCGGCGTAAGCTATGTGGTGAACGCTATGTCGTGCAAGCTGCGTGGCGTGAGCTACCAAGATGAAGCTTGTTCGGGGTAAGCCCACCTTGCAGAACTTCACGTCTTCACCTCCAGTGCTCGCGCAATCATACCATCCTTGCACCCGACATTTGTTTTGCACAACCGATGCGGCCACGATTGCGGTGACTGCGAGGCATTGGCTGGAGCATCTCTACGGCTGCGCCAACGCGCGCAAGCTCGCGCGCAGAGCGGCCCGTTGGCTTGGCACAACCAACGCGGTCGCGATGGCGTCTGTCGATGGGAATTTCTTTGCGCGTTTCAGAGGCCGCATTGGCGCCTGGGCCTTTCAGTGCAGGTCGGTCACTCGGGCGTGCGTTGTATCATGATGACGTCGACGCCAAGGGAGGCAACGATGATGATAGGTAGCGGTAGTTGCGGTGTTGATGACAATGACGACGGCAAGGCCAATGACCTTTCCGACTCAAGTGACGACGATGACGGTGATGATGTGTTTATTTCGGTCATGCAGGCGATTTGTCGATGATGGCGGCAATGGCGGCGATTGGCGATGACGATCATGGCGGTGATGCGGTGGCGCTGATGATGGTAATAGTGAGGAAGTGTGCGCGCGAGGAAGGGCAGGACACCACGCATGCCTCTGTTTGGAGGTGTCTTCTGTTTAATCTGTTTTTGAAGAGCTCTATTTCAAACGCTTTCGAGACCCAATGGTGTTGGAAGGGTTGCGGCACGCGCGCGTGGCGGCCCGCGCGTGTGACCCGCATGGTACAATATGATGCGGATCCGTGCGTTGGGCACATACGAGATCAACGCGGGTGCACCGAGTGGTGAAATGAGAGTGCGCTTTGTGGACGAGATTGCTAAAACCATATGCCTGCCATACGGTTTATTATATTTTGGATGGGCAATGTATTGTGTGCAACGTTATTATGCTGAAGCGTGTTAAATCTAGCGTGCTAGGTATGATTTCGACACGTGCGGGCGTGTGGAATTGATGCCATTTTTGCAGAAGTTTTCTTGATCAGTTACCTTTGGGGATGCACGGGCGCGCGTATAGTGTTACGAGTGAAATTTAACAGGGATGAAGGCCTGGCTGGGATTGTCTGAGATCATACGGAAACTTCAGGATGGGGCATAACCATTCGTAATCTAAAGTGTCCCAGGGCGTATCATTAACCATGGGATGGGGGAGGGTGGTGGAGTGTATCCAGCTGCATGCAGCTGCATGCGGCAAGTCCCGCCACCGTGCCGGCCCAGCAGTCTGGGTGGCGACTCTTCGAGGGGGCACGGGAAGCCGTCACGTGTGACACCTCGTGTTCCCAGGCTTTGGGGACTCGTGGTGGTGGTGGTGGTGGTGTTGGTGATGGTGATGATGATGGTGATGTTGATAACGATGCTGATGATGATCATGGTGCTGCTGATGATGATGCTTCTGCTGATGATGGTGATGATGATGGTCATGTTGATGATGCTGATGGTGATGGTGATGCTGTTGATGATGATGGTGATGATGATGAGGATGATGATGGTGATGATGATGAGGATGATGATGATGGCTATGATGCTGCTAATGGTGATGATGATGGTGATGCTGATGATGAGGATGGTGCTGATGATGATGTTTATGATGCTGATGCTGCTGCTTATGATGGTGCTGATGGAACTGATGATGGTGATGATGACGATGATGGTGATGCTGATGATGCAATGCACTGATGCTGAAGATGACGATGCTGATGTTGAACATGATGATGGTGATGCTGATGAGGATGAGGAGGATGATGATGATGATGATGATGATGATGATGATGCTGTTGCTGATGACGATGATGATGCTAATGATGCTGATGATGCTGTTTATGTTGCTGAAGGTTTTGCTTCTGCTCATGATGCTGATACTGATGATGATGATGATGATGATGATGATGATGATGATGAGCCTGATGATGATGCCGATGCTGATGATGCTGATGCTGCTGACGATGATTGTGATGACGGTGATTGTGGTAATGGGGGGAGCCCTGGTGGTGGTGGCGGTGATGATGAGGACACTTCGTGTTTCCAGACTTGGGGGAGCCGTGGTGGTGGTGGTGGTGGTGATGATGGTGATGATGATGATGATGATGCTGCTGCTGATGATGATGATGATGATGATGATGATGATGATGATGATTATGATGGCACTGCTGATGATACTGATGATGCTGCTGTTGATGCTGATGCTGCTGATGATGATGATGCCGATGATGATGCTGATGCTGATGATTCTGATGATGCCGATGCTGTCGTTGATGCTGTGGGTTGATGTTGATGAAGGGGGTGAGGGCGACGAGGAGATGGGGATGATGAGGATGACGTGACGGAGGAGGAGGAGGAGCAGGATGAGGAGGAAGACGAGCAGGAGGAACAGGAGGAAGAGGAGGACAAGCGCGACGCCTTTCGTCTTCACTAGTTGACGAGCCCTCATGGAACTCGTCTGTGTCACCTTGGGCGGCCCGGTGGGCCCTCTTGGGCCTCTTTGGAGCCCTCGGTGCCCTCTTGGGCATTGTTGGGCCGTCTTGGAGCTCTTCTGGGCCGCCTTAGGGCCCTCGTGGGGGCCTCTTCGGCCGTCTGGGGTTTCTCTTGGGGGCATCTTGGGCGGTGTTGAGGCATCGGAATCTTGAAAATGCGAGAGCCCCCAAACCACTGAAACACTCATCATGGAACAAAGCGGATGCTCGCCTCTCGAGGCTTCTGGGATATGCTCTTTGGGCTCTCTTGGGGCGCCCAGAACGCCAGCTCGGACCGTCTCGAGGCCATCGTGGGCCGCCCTGGAGCGCTTTGGGGCCATTTTTTGGTGGCCTGCCCTCCCCTCTGCTTTCCTCCTTCTTCTCCCCAAATAGCGCTGGAACAAAAAAAACAGAAATCTTGGTGGCCTGCCCTGGCCGCCCTGCACGCCCTCTTGGGGCATCCTGGACGCCCCGGAGCGCGCCATCGGAGGTGGGATGGCGGCCTCGGACGTCTCGGAGAAGGGAAGCGGGGCGAGGCGTGCATAGGAGCGCTTCCCGTGCGGGCGATACCTCCTCCTCCTCCTCCTCCTCCTCCTCCTCCTGTGCGGGCGATACCTATATCCCTATCCAGAGCGTCTTGGACTTTTTGGGAAGGGGGTGTCGCAAGGCCGAGGCGCACTGGATCTGGATAAAAATCTAACCTTGTGGGGCCAGATCTTTATCCATGTCCAGTGCGCCTCCGGCTTCTGGGGAAGAAGAGAGCCCAACGCTCCAAGACGCACTGGATGTAAATCTAACTATTGCCCGCATCCTGAGGGGGGGGAGGGAGGGGTCTTAGAAGATTTCAGGACTCCCTCCAGGCAGCACTTGACATTCTGCCACGCCCCAGCGTGCCAAGGGGGCACGGCTGCGGATCGTCAACCCTGGGGGGAACGTGGTGGAACGATTTTTTCTGCTCAGTGGGGATTTCGGTGGTGCAAGCTATGCCGTGTAAGCTAGGCGGTGTGAAAAGGAGGCGAAATGTATGGTGTGTCAGCCAGTCAACGCGCCTAGTAAGGACGCGCGGTGTACCATTTTGCTATCGATACCAAAACTGCTTGAGATGGCTCGCCCCCTGCTACTGGGACTATCGTTACTACGGTACAACAGAGCGGGAGCTGGGCTTCGCCTAAGGCGAAGCTGCTGGTTGGGCCTCCCAACCCCTTTCAAACTTGGTAGCGGAGCTGGCCTATGGTGGTCAGCTCTAGTTCTACTCCTCACCATCCACGGCACTATCTGGTGGACTACTGACGTGGTGGAACATCAGGGTGCAGTGGGTTTGCGCGGAGGAATGTGTACAACTACGCAGCATAGCGAGGACACTTGCAGTGACACCTCTGCCTACGCGGAGGCCTCTTACATGCGTCCTACATCCCTGCGATACTACACTCCTGGAGTCCACCCACCTACCCCAATTTCAAACTTTTTCGAAGATAATGCGTGGAAACATGCGATATGACATTGTGCCGCCTCCACCCCCGCGCAGGCTTGCGACCGCGTATCGAAAATCCCAACCGACTACATCCGACCACGACCTGTGAGACCATTGGGTTGGTATTGCTATCTTTGGCTCACATGGGTCGCTATCGGGTGTGTGGTAGGACATTTGCGTTGCGGAGACGACGCAAGAACGACCGGCCCCCATTGGGACCCGTCCGGTCAAGTACCTTTCTGCGAATTCGTCCGCTAGGTACATGCCTGGATCAGCGTGACCACAGGCAACATGACGCCCTCCCAACAAACTGCAGCCTTGCAGCGAGGCTTCGGAGGCCTCGCACGGACCATGGCCATGAAAGTTCCCCAAGCAGATATCAATTTTGGTGTTAACATAGGTGGCCGCCATGCCGACGGCGTCACCTACATCATGTTCCTCTTGAGCACGAAATTCGAGAATCTAGAAGAGGAGCGCCAACTCAACTCTGGTACACCTCTCATTGGCTTGCGAGTCCATGCGGGGGAACGGATCGACCAGGCTTTGGCGCGCTTCGAGATAGCCCGCTATGAAGCTGAACCGGCAGAATTTAACATCCCCAACTTCCAAATTCTAGCAGTTATTTTATTCAGAGCCCTTGAAGAGGGGACATCGTGTGCACAGCAACTCCTGCAGCCACTAAACCACCACATGCCGAGGGGCCAGCAAAAAACATTTTGACTCCCTACTTGAACGCGTGAGGTCATGTGCGCGCATTGCTGAGGGAACCCCTCGCAATATTGGTGGTATTTTCAGTCACGGTCACCGAGCCGAGACCTTTCACGTTGAGGCAAACGCAGGGCAACCTGCTAAGAACGTCTGGAATTACGATCCGCAACCAACTGAGACCCCTACACTACTGGCTCAGAATGGTGGACTGGCTTCGGGGTCGCAAGACTCCTGGGCCAGGTTTCGGGGGCCGCCCGACGCGGCGTGCCCTACGCAAGCCACAGCCCTAATGGGCTCAACGGGGCAACCTGCTGAGTCCGACTTCGACTCCGGCACTGACGCCGGCGCGTCTGCGGACGACGAGGCTGCTGCCCTTGATTGCTCCGATA